AATAGTTAGGTCTAGATGGAAGAAGAGGCTTGGGGAATGTGTGGTTAGGAATAAGGAAAGGAGCATTATAAGTTGTCGTTTGGTTCACATGGAGTAAAGGGAATGGAATCAAGAAAGGGACAGGGAGGGAAAGGGAAGCAATTCCCTTTGATATTACATGTTTGGATGATATTTGTTTGGCTTAGTCCATGTCCTATGTAATACCCTGGAAATTTCCTTCCTTTAAAATACTCCTTTTACTCTAAATAAAACCCTTTTAAGGAAATAACTAAAATATTACCGCCACCGTGATAACGGCTATGGCTAGTTTTCAAAGTCTCACAACGGAAGTTTAAAACAAAAACCAACTTTTTAAAATAAAATTTGAGTTCACAATCTCAAAACAAAAGTAGAATAAAACAGTCGCAAGTTGGAACCAATTCAAAATATGGCCCTTCTCAAAAAAACCAATTAAAAACAAACATAATAATATTAGTCCATAACAAATCGATAATTCAAAAACATTAAAACTAAAAAACATAACAAGTAACACTCTGCACTCTATCCCATCATGCTATTCATGCTTCAAGTACCTGTTACTTCTTCTTTATTTCAACACTCTACTCACCATATAAATGGGCCATGGTAGGGGTCAATCCAAAGGAAAGCCAAACATAAACACAAAAGTATGAATTAGCAAAGCTGAGTACATATGCACCACACTAACATGAATATCCTAGCATCAAATTAAAAATAATAAAACATGATCGCCAATCAACTTACCTTTGACTCATAACTAGCAATATTAGTTATTAATAATAATTTTGGATTACGCATCGAACGGGTTTCCTTCCTTGAAAATAGCCCATTTAAATATTGAGCTTGCAATCAGAGAGCTACCCTAATTAGCACCTACTATGTCACCTTGTGACGGAATTTCGGCGCATTAATAATAAAAGAAAGTACAGCGTCCTGTACCCCTGTAGAAGCTATGGTCAAATATGAAACCCCATAACTCCCCCCCATATGTTCATACTCAAGGTATATATGTTCCAAGAATTTTGGTGCATATCCTCTTACACTTTACGTGATTTACAAATTTGTGATGACTCAAACCAATCAATCAAGAACAAGCATAATAACAATCAATACATACTTTTAATTCATTCTTGAATTAATTAGTGATCACATACTATTTATTTTAATTAAGGTTACTTGCCTAGTTTTGTGCACAGAATTGCACGATTACTACTTTAGTGCATAAGATGCACTACTAAATTTTCTTGACTCAACTTAACTTACTTGAGTGAGTAAATAAATAAACTAACTTCTTGACTCAACACCAATAATAAATGGGTGAGAAATAAATTCATAAATCATGATCAATATTTCTAACTTTAGCTCTTTAACTCATATATAAGCCTTGCTTACTAAATACATGCTTTCTTGATACTTGAAAATAAAACATACTTCCATGATTCACACATATTCAACTTGTATCACACCTCAAATAATGTAATCACATGCTTGTATAAAAATTCATGCTCAACCAACATCAATTCCAAGCATATAATTAACCAAACATGCTACTTATTCATCACTTAAATCATACTTTACAAATCCTAGCATGATACTACGCATACACAAATATTTTTGTGCACATACGTATCTTGAATAATGCCTAAACTCGGCCACACTTGCTAGAAATCACCTAGTTCGAAACTTCCTACAAATAAGAATGCATAACTATAATTAATCTACTATTCTCACAAATTTCCAGCAACTATAATACTCTTTAAACCTTACCAATTAACCCAAATTTAATGACATAAAAGCTGTAAAACCTTTTCTTTAAGTGGGTACTTCAAATCCTTTCAAAAAGACTTAATTTTTATGACTTAAATAAAATTCCAGTCTACTTATTTAATATAAAACATCACTAATAGACTAGGAAATCATATTTAAATCATTTAAACCTTTTTCCCTTTCATGGGTAATCAAACCCTAACTCAATAATTAAAAAGTAGTGTGCATAGATAAATTCAGCATTAATTTTACTCATTAAAACATGTTTAAACCATTAATTAAACAACAACATCAACTTAGGATCAAACCCTAACCATAAACATTAAATTCCCAAATTCTAGGGTTTGTAAATTGGGGTTTTTGATTGAATAAAAATCTGAAAATTATATAAATAATTTAACAACATCAAATACCCAAAAATCAATACCAAAACATAATCAAAATCATGTTTTAAATTAATAAAAACAATAGAATTAAATTAGGAAGAGAAAAGAGGTTTTTTATTTTTTTTTTTAATAAGAATACCAAAACCGAAAAATAAGAAAGAGAGAAGGAGAGGGTGGCTGGCGGGTTGCCGCCGGTGGTGGTGGTGGCGTCGGTGGCTGCCGGCGTGAGGGGAGAAGAAGAGGGAGAGGCGTGGGGAAGGAGAGGAAAAAGAAGAAAAAGAGAGGAAAAATAGGGAGAAAGAGGAGAGAGAAAATAAAGAGATAACCTTTGAAATTTTGTGAAATCTGACAATTATGATTTTAGAATGAAAAATCTTGATTTTGAAGTATTTATACTCTCCTTTTAAAACAAAAACTCATAATTACAAAATTGCTATTACTAAATCGTACTCCCCTTGCCTTCTTCCTTTGGGGCCAACTTGTTGGGCTTTTAAGTGTCCTCAATTCCCCAACAAGTTGATCCAACTATTTAAATAAAGATGACCTAATTCAAAACACTTTTATTGCCTCAATTAATGACTCATATTATTTTATGCACACTTACATAATATTTAAATAATTAATTTCTTTTTAAAACGAAATGAATAATTTTAATCTATATAATAAATAATTTATACATATAAAAATATTATAAAAATACGGAGTATTACATCCTAAGCGCAATGTGACTCAAATGACGAAATACCCCTCTATAATCTAGCTTGAAAGTACACCCTTAATCATCCATTAATCATTATCAAGTACAGATTTACCCCTACTAATAAAGTACATTTTTGCCACTTGAAAGTACATCTATAAATAGCATCCAATGATTAATGATGGAAAACTTTTTCTAATATCTCATTCTCTCTCCAGAAAGGGCATTCACAGCGTCGTAAGGACATTCCCGGGTCAACCCCCTGGCACCTTACTTTCTATTTCTTGCAGGCGTAGCTCAAGTACATTTGGACATCATTAGACAAACCCGAAATACCCTAGCATACCGAAATCTGTTTCGAAACAATATTATTACCTCCTCTTCTCACCCATGCTCCTTTACTTCCTCTACCATCACCCTTAAGGCTTCTTGCTAGTCCTCCACGGCTCCATGTCGGCACCACTGCCCCCTTCCCTCTCCTCCACACCACGACCGCCAACACCTTCTTCAACCTTGTCGTCCCTCCGTGTTTTTACTGCATTCTCTCTTATTATTTAATCTCCATTGTTGGTCATGTTTAAGGTTTAAAAAGTCAAATTTGAATATTAACTTCAAATATGAACCTTTCATGGTTGAATATGACTATTTAAGGCTACAATTGATGATAAAATTAGGTATTTTTTTTCTCTTGATTTTTTCCCTAAATTTTTAGGGTTGAGTTTTGGGTGGTTGTTGATGATTGTTAAGTAGGTAAAGTTTGGTTTTCAAGGTGGTAAGGGCTGTTTTCGGGGTGGTTGGGGGCTTTCAGTGTTGGTGTGGGAGTTTCAAGCTAGGTGATGGTGGTTTTTTGGGCAAGAGATGGTGGTTTTGGGGTGCAAAACAGTGGTTTTGGGGTGGGTGGCGACGATTTCAAGCGGATTAAGGTGGTTGGGGATGGGTGAGGGCAGTTTTGGGGTGGGTTGAGGTGCTACGGTGGCAGGGCAGTGGGGCGCTGTGGTGGAGAAGTGGTGGGTTGGTGGGCGGTGGGCCGTATTAGTGGGTTGGGGTTTAGCAGTGGTGGGGCGGTGGTGGTGAAGAAGGTGAGAGTGCTGGTGGGGCATTAGGTGTTGGTGGCATAGAGAAAGGGAATACAAATACCATGGGGGGTGGGGGGGAATGAGAGTAGAGGACTTTGGGGTAATTGAGTGGGGAAAGGGAATGGTTAAATTGACATAACAAACTACAACTAAGGTAATCAACCTTGTTGATTGCGTTTCCTTTTCCTGAATACCCCGAACCAAACGCCCCCTAAGTAGTAGTGGCACTAGGTAATTGGATTCCGCAACAAACCCTAAGGTTTTCATCAATACTAATTCATGAGGTGCCTGTATTCTGTTCTATTAGCAATGCATGTAAAAGTTCTATTTGCTTTAAAGTAAGATGATCAGCTTTATAGTGGTTCCTGTAATCTTTCGATGCATTCCTTGGAACATTTCATTGGTGTCACCAATTTTACTGAGATACTTCAGAAGTGTTGGGATTGTTTGGAAGTATCCAACATGGATCTGGAAAGCTTTCTTAATTTTCCAATTATTTTTCAAGGATAGCACCATATAATTATGTTGGATTTGTGTCAGGCATTGATATGGTAAGATTTTTATTGAGTCTGAGTAATAGGGGGTGTTAGTACCACCCATAGCTTATGGTTTTTGCTCAGTTAGTTCATAGCAGTATTGATGCTAATTTTTGCTCATTTGTTAACAGTTGCTTTAATGTTGAAGTCATATTGAAATCAATATGCAACATGTTACAGTAGTTATACCACCCCTCCTGCTGTTTCACCATGAATCCCTTACATCTTCAATTTATTTAGTCCTACTTAGAGTAGTCAGTAAAATTAATACAAAATACTAAAAAAGGGGAGAGTTGGCTGAAGATGGATTTTGGAGACTGCTAAAGTGCTATAATTGACCTAGAGAATCATAATTGGAAAGTGTAGCTAGAATTTAAAGATGCATATTCTTGTTTTCTCTCTAGTTCTAGTATTCTGAATGTATTAATTTGATACTTTTAAGTTTTTAATCATTGAGTGAGTATTATGGATATACTCTACACTCTGCTTCTCATTGCTTTTTTCTTTTTACCCCTGGCAGATGGGATTGGGTATACGTGCATTAACTTCATCACATTTTCCGCCCACCAATTTTATTTTGGTGACTCTAGGAAGCACTGCGGTTCTGCTAATTGGTTGGAGGACACTCTTGTTCCAGATTCTTCCTAGTGGCAAGAACAAGAAAGATGATATGTACAGACGTGGAAGTCCATTCGAACTGTTTGAGGTATGAAACAATTCCCCTACATAAACTTTTTTTTAGCTATTTTCAAATAGAAAAACATGTCACTATCATGTTAAGTTTCATATATCTTCTGAACAGACCTTAGATTTAATTAACACCTAGTCGAGCTCTTAAATATTTGATAAATATGATAAGTTACTCCAATGATTGAGTAGCCCGTATTGTAAAAGTCCTTGAGCATTAATTTCAACGAAAATTTCTGTACTAAAGCATGTTAAACTGCCAATGATTGCCTGATTGGGCACTTGGGCTATGTGGCTAATAGTCATAACTCATAAAGTTCAGGTAAGAAGATAACTGCTTTGGCTTGGCCATTTGTATTGTTTTTTGTTTTTCAAACTAGATTTTTTTTTCACTGGTTGTTGCACACAACCGGTCTCTTAATTAGTATAAATCAATCGATTTTAAACCTTGGTTTTTAGCCTACATGACCAATACCACTACTTCAGGTAGCAGCTTTAGCAAGGGTAAAATCGCTATTTTGGATTACAATTGAAATCTATGTCCTTATCTTACATGGATGGTAAATAGGAGAATAAGTTTAATACCAAAGCTTAAAGTAGAGCAAGCTTTTTACTTGCATTGCTTGAGTAAATCATTCTAGGCTTTTTTGTTATTGAGGAAACAGCAATTATTATGTCGTTTTTGTTACAAACTGTAGAATAATTTCTCCAATGTTTAGGGGTGGTATGTTGTATATACTCCATACTAGTTTGCTATTATTATACACTACCTCCGTTTCTTATTTTGTGCGACAAAATCCCTTGCACGTTCCCAAGATAAACTTAGAGTGTTAATTAAAATAAGAGCAAATAAGTAATTCCCATTTATTTTTCTATTTTTTATTCTGGGGCCTATATAATGCTGCTAATACGAAGTGATGTTTTGTGCTGCAGCTGCTTACTTCTCTGGTTAGGAGGTGGTGAAAAGTGGCTCAATGCCTGACATTTGAGTATATTTGTGTGTAAATTCAGTTTACTATATAGTTGTATCTTCATCTTTAAGATGCTAACTTATTTTTATATGATTTGACTTTATGGATGATGCATCTTCCATCTTTATTTGGTTAACACACTTTTCTTATAAAGCAAAATAAATTGCGTTCACTATGTTTGGATGACAATAGTGAAGGGAAAGGGAGGGGAAGGAAAAAGAGGGAAGAGTAAGGAAGGTGGGGAGAAGGAGAGAGTAATCTTCCATTTTTCCATCCAAATCTCTCCGAAAATGGAGGGAGTTGGTTTATTAAAATGGAAAGGAAAATGAATCCTTCCATTTCCTTTCTTTTCCCTTGCCCTATGTCTTATCTAAGAGAGTTTATATCCCTCACTTTCCCTTTCCCTCCCTAATTTCTCCAAAATTCCTATTTAAACATAGTGTAAATACAAAAGTATGTAACTCTTTAGACACAATTTATTTATGTACTTTTTTTTAAATGAGAAAAACAACATTAATAATCTTCAAGTAACAACATTAATAACTTGTGCTTTTCATGAATTAAAAGAAATTATTCATAAATTCGATTTGTTTATGTTAAATTCATCAACTTTGCATTTGAATTGTCTCTCTTCTATATAAATCTCTTCACATCTCCTTGTGAATATGCATTACACCTCAAGGTTGGGATATACGTCTTTGTTGCCAACAAGGCCTCTTGAAGAGAGAAACTATGAAAATACATGGTTATGCTTCGATAGATTATGGTTTAATCATTTGTACTTGACAATCCAACTCGAATTTTGAGACACTTTTGAACGTAATAAGGATGAAGAATCTTACCTTATGTTCGAGAAGAGATAAAGTGACATAGGAAGGGGTAATACACACTTTTCAAGATAGGAGAAGTGGGAGATTCAAGGAATAGTGTCATATAAGGATGAAGATTCTTACCTAATGTTTAAGAGGAGATATAAAGGGACATAGGAAGGGGTAATGCACACACTTTTCAAGATAGGACAAGTAGGAGATTAAAGAAATAGTGTCATTTGACCAAGTGTATCATTCGAATAGATGGTTTAGATGATTATGGAGTTAATCATTTAGTAATATGTACAAGAGGTTGCTTTCCATCGGTGTGAATAATTAATAATTACTCTCACCCTTACTACCTATCGGGTCACCTTCTAAGCACGAAATCATTTCAATAGATGGCTTGGGCTATGTCAAATATATATAGTTTATTGGATCAAAGTGTTGGACGTTAGGCTTTAGGCACTCCAAGTCCTTTTACATTGTCTAATGGATCAAAAGATTGTAAAATGACGACTCAAGTCAAATGATGGCCCAAGGCCCTGCTCAAGTCAAAAGGTTGCCACAACCAAAGCATGACCATAAGGCCACACTAAGGCTAGGCGCGCTAAGGCCAGGCACATGGCCCCAAAAGAGGGAACTAACTGAGGCTCTTGCCTCGTTGACGCATGCGAGCAGTTGGCCTAGCCAATAATTGAGCCTCGTTGCAAGGTCGAGGCAAGGGGCTAACTCGCTAGTGGTAGCAAGCTCAGCAACTGCATCTAATCACACAAGGCCTAAAAGTGCGTGTTGCTAGTTGCGAGGCCTAAGTTTGCGATTGCTTGATTGGCATGTAAGGTAACAACAGTAGCGCCCATAGCGTGGGCATGTTTGCTGGTCGGCCATGCACTAAACTTTGACGGTAACTCGTTTCCTAGTAAACGACTTTCCTTAATATCATTAGGTTTGTAATGGAGGTGTATTTATTATAGATACCTCCCTTGTTATTGGCACAAACATTTATAAGTCTCTAGTAGAGTAAGAACCTAAGATCTAATCGCACGAGGGATTTTATTCGGTATTCTAAGTTATACACATTGTGGATTTGATTGTGCGAATGGACTTTTAATAGAGAGATTGCACTTGCGATTCTTGGTTCCATTCGTGCTAACAATCATGCTTCAAAGGTATAATCTTTAGATTAAGTTTATGTTTTGAACTAATACTTTCAATTAAATAAATCCGAACATAGGTTTGTTTCCGCGCTCTTATTAAATTAATGTAAAACCCAAAAGTTTCGTCGTTGGGTGATAAATGGGGAGGCGCTTTTTGTTTTTCATTCTCTACATCAAGATGCAAACCATCCTCATTTGCCTAGTGTGGGTTAAAACCAAGATGCAACTATGGCAGCAGCAATGCCCAAGGTAATTTCTAATTTTGAAGGAACTTTTTGAATACTACTACGTAAATATGTTTGTATATAAATTATATTTAGTTACTTCTATTTTACATGCATTGACCATTTGTTTAACTAAAGAATAAAACGTGAAAACTAAGTGAAAAAAAAAAAGAAAGGAAGCTATAAAAGTAACCAAAAAACATTCTAAACTATCGTCATTTGAGTGCCATAAGTGACACTCATCAAATTCCACCAAGCTAAACTTTTGCTCGTCCTCAAGCAAAACAAAAGCAAGTAAAGAAAATGAATGGCTTATTCAAATAAAAAAAGAGAGAAAAGGGAATGGGAATATACACTAATTCACTAACGTAGGAATCACAGTTGTTTTTAGCTACAACAAGCCCTTAAAACCCCAAAGTCGCCAATGAGGACGAGTGAGGTCTCGTAAGGGTTTCCAAAAGAGCTTAACCCATAACTCTCAAAACAAAACAAGGCAAAGCATGAAAATAGAATGAAAGAGAAGAAAAAGGGAAAACACTGTTCCACATTGTCCTTCGAACAAGTGTATTATTCCGATAGAGGGTTCAGAATTAATTAGAAAAGCTAATTATTCAGTGAGGTCAAGTGATCGGAATGCCTAGCTGGAGGCTGCTTTCGATCAGTAATATTAATGTATAATTAATATTACAGCTTGCTCTTGATCGAACCCTTCGGATCACACCCAATCGCGTAACCGAAACAAAGTGACGAATTAATCCGAAGGATTAAATGAGTCGATAGAGATTTTACAAACTAAGACGTCGGATTCCAAGCTTATAGCGTCGAAAGTCGAGTCGAATTTAGACGAGACGGAAAAATCAGTCAAACAACAAGTTATCGCGCGTGAAAATCCTAGCCTCGTTATGGCCTAGCTAATTGAGAGCTAGGTGGTCTAGCATGGCTAGCCAGGCTTCTTGCCACAAGGCAAGGCTTGGCCGCAAGCCAAGCATGCTTCTTATGCACTGGCTGGGCGAGCTGGCCGAGCAGCCATGCGGGCAAGGCTCGGCAGCATAGCCAAGCATGCATGCGGGGAGGTGCGTCAGCAAGGCCAGCAGCGAGCAAGGCGTGCTGGGCCTCGCTAGCAACAACACACCGCAGCAGCCCGCATTGCGTGCGAGGCTTGCTGGCTGGGTCGCCCGCATTGCGTGCGAGGCTTGCTGGCTTGGCCGCCCGCGTGTGCGGGTTGGCTGGCAGACCCTGCCGAGCACCAGGCCGCGCAAGGTGTGCCTTGGTGCCCAAGGCTGGACGCCAGTTGTCATGGTTGGTGCCGACTACATGTTTGGGGAACAAGGGAAGGTGGTCCTTCCCTTTGTGGTCCTCACCTACTCCTTTGCTTTCCTTGTGCCACTTGTTTTTTGATGATTGTTTTGCCATTTTAATTTAATTTAGAATTAAATTAATTCTTTCTTTTGGCATTTTACGAACTATCCCACATTGAAAGATGATGGGAATTCTTGGGAACAATTCCTTATAAATACCAGTCATTGGGTATTGGGATTTTCACTTGAGTTGGTGAACTCTAAGGGATCTCCAAAAGCGAGAAAACCTTAGTTCTTAAACTTTAACTTATTTTTGGTCTAGCTCCGTCTAAGCTACGGGGTAGGGGCCGGTTCCGGTTCAGTGAGCGAGGGTGTGAGCCGTTAGAGGTTTCGCACTTGCGGAGCTTGAAGCTTTCAAGTCCGAGCTTATTGAGTGAGCGAAGCACGCGTCTAGGGTGAGTTTCTTTTTCTCTCTTCTCTTCATGTGTTCGTGTTTAGTTTATTTGCATGCTTTTGCTTATGTTGTAATTATTATGCATGCGATCCGCTTTCCGAGTTTTTTTTTTCCCTCGCGGTGTCGGACACCGCAAAACCCAACATCTTGCACATGCATTATGTTCGAAATATCCCAAATTGGCTAAGATTGAAGTTTGGAACTGGATGGAGGTAGAGCTAAAGAAGAAGGGGACATTAAACAATTTTACACCATGGCGTCTACCATGGTGAGGAAGTATTATAGTTTGATCCTTAAAAGTCACAAGCTTGAACAAGCAAGGGAAGTCTTAGAAGAAAACTTCGCAAAAGATTCAAGTGTAATAGATGAAATGTTTCTGCTCTATTCTAAGAACACTACAAGTGTAGAAGAGAATTCACAAGCGGCTTCATCTACTGTTGTTCTAGACCCAGCTCGTGCAAAAATTAAAGGAGGATAATCAAATAAAAAGATTCCAGGAAGCTATGACTACATCAAAAAGGGGAAGAGGAGGAAGCATAGAGAACTTGGTGCCAAAACACCAAATTTTACTAATAAGTGTTTTAGGTTTTTTTTTAGATCACCCAAGATACAGTTTTTCAATGCTACTTGGAGAGCCGAAGACACATGCAAAACAACGAATATTCCGTAACCGAAATATTCGCCTCTGACGATTAAGTTAGTAACCGAAAAACGGAGGGTTTAATGAGAAAAAAGTAGAGAGAAGTTAGAGCAATCAACAATTAATAATGTCTTGAATGCAATGTCTAAATCCACCCCCCTCATTATAAATGATTGGGGTATTTATAGGGGTGTGAATGTGTGCCCTCCTAGGGATTAGTGACCTAGTATAGTGGGCGCTGATTGGCTGCGCAATTAACCGAGGACACGTGTCCATTGAGGGCGCCGTTTTGGCGTCTCTCTCGGTAATTGGAATTTTCCGACGGATTTTACACCATTTCCGACTGAATAATGATAAAAAAAACCCAAAAAACCCTAATAACTTTCTCTCTCCTCTCCTCTTCTTCTGTCCGCCCCTATTCCCCTTTCTTTCCTCATTTCTCTTTCTCTCTCCTCTCCTCTTTCAATTCCTCTTCTCTTTCTCTCTCCTCTCTCTCCTCTCCTCTTTCAAAGTTTCAGTTCCTCTTCTCACG